TGCATAGCGCCTGAGAAAGTTAGCCAAAATTCAGTTGTTACTGTTTGCACCTCCTGGTTTTGTTACTGGGACAACTGGGGAGCTTTGCTGGCAAACATTGCTTTCAGAATTTTTTAAAGTACCCAGGTTTATTAAGAAATAGTAAATCATTTTTTAAGATAAAACTGGAGTTAATGGGTATGCTTTGAGAAAGAAATGGAGTAACTTGTTTGATGTAAATAGCTAGACTAAGGCAGCAGATTAGCAGCAGACTGATAAAATGGAAGTAAAACAAGCTTCCAAGCTTTTTTGCTTAAATAAGACTGGCAGAAGAAAGAAAATCTGTTATGGTAATGTGCTGGACCATGATTTCAAATCCAAATTTATGCCTTGAAAGTTATTGCTGCTGAAAGATAATATAAATATTAAAAGAACCTGCAAAATGCCAGCTGTAGAAAGAAATGTCTAAATCTTTCGTGATCCTCTATGTTTCTTAAAGCTTTCTGCCCTATTTTGTTTGCTCTGATACTGATTTCAAATATGCTGTGATGGGTTAAAGAAAAGCGAGAATTCAGATGTCTCAAATCTCAGCTTCTGTATAATGTACTATGGTTGAACTGTGTGACAGCACAGGAGTGACAGCTTCAAAGCATCGAAACACAAACTCTTAATTGTTCAGTATCAGAGGAAATCTGGGCAGACATCCTACTGTCCTACTTCATCTGTTGTTGGAGGTCTGCAAAGGGCCATATGCCAGCAGAGAATTAGACATAGCAGAACCATGTGTGGTCCCACCAGGCTGTGCTTCATTCCAAAGTCTTTTCCATGGAGCTTCCCGATTCACGAACTGTCAGCACCCACTACTGCACTTTGCTCTTGATAATTGCTGTTACCCTGGCAGCACTGCATTTTTTGCCACTGTGGCTTTTCCTCACGTATTTGAGGAGTGAAGTAGCATTCAATAAAGAGAAATGAGCAGAGATGAGAGTTCACATATTTTTATTTCCTTATCACAATGTTCCCACAATAAAGGTGGCTCATCCTTAAGCGCTCAGTACCCACAGAAATACCAATCATTTCCTAAGTCACTGATTCAAACTGAGCCGGGGTAAGTCATAGATATTTGATGGGACAGGAGAAAATAATGAATCATCTCATCTCAAGATATTAGGAAGAGGAATGTGATTAATATCCCCTTACTCTAACTGTATTCAGTACAGCTGCACTGCTTCTATCAGAGCTAGTCACCCTTGGAGTTGCCTTTAAAGCCAAAGGAGGAAATAGGCATCTTTACAACATGAGTCACCTGACCTGTTTTAACTGTCTATATCAGTGTGCTCCAAAAGTGCCTATTTCTCTCTGCGTACTACACAGTCTAAATGGTTGGCTCTATACTGTGGATGTCTGCATGTGGCAGGATGAATTCCACTGCCTTTGACCTCTTTCTTGACACCTAATGAAGAGATTCCTGACCGATTGGAGATACCAGTACGTTCTGGTTACCCACACTGCCTTAAAGCATAGTGGAGGGAAGTGATCAGTGCTGATGCTATTTTCGGTGCGAAGCTACATTCCTTACTTGGAAAACATCAGAGGGATTTTCATCTGAGTAAGGATGGTGGGGAGAGTCAGCCAGTTATGGATAAACAAAGATTTTTATCCCATCAGCATCAGTCCGACATCCCTCAGCTTCCTCTATTTTCACCAGAAAACCATGAATGCAGAGAAGTTAAGGAGCATGGAAAATTTAAAAAGTTGCATGAAAATGAACGAAACAGTTATGAGACTTTGCCAGAAACATTCCATATCCTGATAAGGATGCAGAGTAAGATCCCTATCACAACCAATTCTTATCTATAGCTCATGCTGTTCTCTGAAGTACCAAAGGGCACCGTTTCTCACTAGGGTTTCTCTCATATATGCTCATCAACTTATCCAGCTCCTGGATAAGAAATATAGGCAAAAAAAAATGTTTCCATATGGTCTTGTTATGCATCTAACAAGCTGGGTTCTAGCTACAGGTGAATCATTACCTCATTTTTTTGTGAATAGCTTTGTGATTTGTTTTGGGACTCAGATGAAAGGAGAGACCCTGCCCCCTCCTGCTGGACGGAATTATCCAGTAGTTTAGGCAGCTTGTTAAAAAACACTTATAGGTTTTGTTTTGCCTAGTTTAAATAGTGCCCAAGGAACTACAGAGTATTGCTTCATGCTATAATTAATATTTAATAAGTTATGCTTAGTGGTCCAGTTCCCACAAGAGATTAGGATCACTCTCATAGCTTGTTTGCTAGGACCATCCCTGACTCTAGTGTTCTTGATTCACAGCAGGATTTGACCCTAGTCAAATGTTATTATCATGCTGAAATCAATACGCTTTAATAAAATTCCACTTTTCAGTACAAAAGTTTTTTCCAAAGTTCTTCAAATAGCCGTATCCAAATTCTGGTTCGACTAATTGAACAGTGTTGCTCAAATATATTTTTCATGCAGAGGAGAATGCCTCCTAGGTTTCAAATGAGGAATTCACAAATAAGAAGGTAAAATAACAGCTTAACAAAGATGACATTTTGTAGTGACGTTCCTCTTTTGTGTCATGAGAATTGCAATACCTAACTTGACTGATAAAATATGACAGGCTTATTGATAGTCTGAAGATAGTTTTCTTCCTAAGTTAATTCATCTAGATAGATTCTTCAGGGAATCCTTAAATATTGTGAAAGTTCCCATGATGAATCGGATTGATGAATCTTCAAATGCTAAGTAGCACTTAAAATGGTCTAGTTTAAATTTGTCCTCTGCCTTGTACTTGGTATAATTGTTTACAGATAGTAAATTGGATGCCATATCTGGACACAGGTGCTGTACATGCATTTTATGCAGATAACTGTGCTTATATGGGACACAGCAAGGAAAATCAGTCTGTGTATTGAATACCCTCATGCCAAGACTAGAAGCAAAGAGATTACTTTAATATGAGTTGTGAAAGTAAACTAGTGACAGGAGGGTTATTGTTCTGTTTCAAGTGTAGGAATTCTTCATGCCCTGTTACCGAAGGAAGAATAAGTATTCAAGGAGAAGGAGCTGAAATAGGAGGTGGTTGTATTTTGTCATTCTTGACTTCCTAAGTAGGTAAATGCAAAACAGGAGAATTCTCTAAGCACTTAGAGCTGCTGAGTTCTGTTCTGGTAGCATTTCTGGGTCTGAGATGGAAAGGCTAACAGAAGAAAGCAAGAGACCCATTAGACGCAAAAGCTTGTCTGCAGGAGTTATGAAGGAATTCAAATATGCAAAACCAAGAGGTACTCAGTGATGGAGACAGGCAGAATGAAATAGCCAAATAAAAAAGTCTCTCAGAACAAACGAACCAAACCGTTAAAAGTGAAATCTAACTGAAATTATGTCTACTCATGGACTTTATTCCTGATAACAGGAGAACACAAATTTAAAGCAAGATAGTTATTTTGGAATAATTGTGTGTATAGCTATGGATAGACAGCCATGGTGAAGTCGCTGAACTCTCTGAAACTCAGAGATAGGTCCCTACTTAAAGAGGCTGTTTGGCACTAGCCCCTCAGCTTCTCCGATACACCAGGGGAACCCAAAACTTCACCAGATTCAGTCGTGCAGAATCTTCAAGAAACTAGCAAATTGAGCTTACCTAAATCAAGAGAGCAAAGTGAGATGATGTGGGACTTAATAGGTCACTGGTGACTGAAAATAAAACTCCTAAAAATGATGTCAATGTTTTGATCAGCTCTTGTAGTATTTGGATTAGGCTTTTACTGGAAGAGAGTTACGGGCTGCGTTGTCCTTAGGACATACGAGAACTAATCCTAATGCTTTGTTCAGGGAATTGAAGTGACTAATTAGGGAATTAAAACATTGGATTAAAAGATCTGTAGAGTTTATGTTAATAGCTATACATGTAAGCTTAAAAAGGATGTTGTAATTTCAGGTGGATCCCCACTTGAATTTTCCTTAAGTTTCAGCATAACTGGTGAAAGGAGAGGAGAGTCAGTAAGCTTTATCATTAAGGATCCTAAGCAGCTACACATCCTTTCCCTCCACTGGGCAATCTCCTGGTGCTGACTGTCAGAAGTGAGCTCCACTGGTTATCTTTTCAATGTCTTTTTAGGGCATACAATCTTTTCTTTGGTATGTTTAGACTTGGCAACCTAAAAAGTAGAGGAGTTGAGGGATAGGACACAGTGAGTCTAAAACAGGCCTCACGTTTAAGCACTAAGCGTTTTCACATGCCTTACCACAGGCATGGCAGCAGTAGAGGGAGGGCAATAGTGAGTTTAGTTCTGATTAATTTCCCTGTGCTCTCAATGGAAGAAGTTAGGTCTCTCTGAAGACGTCCAGAAGGATATATGGTTCCCCTAAACTTTACACCCGTTTCTCTTCATTGACAGTGTAGTGAGTCAATGTGAAATGTTAGGTGCAATATCCAGTCAGCATTCTTCTGAAAGCAGGCACATAATGAGGGAGAGTTTGCGCTGAAAAATACAGTGCCTGTGCCCTGCTACCATTTGTGTAATTGCCTTTGAAACTTTGCTTTTTGAGGGGGCTTGGACCTACACTTACCCTGTTTAGAGTAGTGCCCTGACAAAGAGTTTGGCATCCAAAAAGTATTCACAGCAGTCACCATCAGTCTCAGGAAGCTAATAGTGGTCAACACTGCAAACAATTACTCAGTTTGGAAGATGTAGCTGGAATCTGAGTAGGTATCTGATATCCAGCTGCTGTGCTTTCAACTTAGATATAAAATTAAGTTCTCTAGGTAACAGGCATCCTCTTAAGGCAAGTGATTATGGTGCAATCTCGGGTAAGAAAGGGAGCTTCTAGTAAGATTAACTGCCTACAGACTTAGCTGTTTTGCTAGCCTTCTTTCCAGTAATTCCTTTTGTAACATATCCAACAAGCCTTGTTTTAAACTTTTTTATGAACTTTATTGTATTTTTGCCTAATTTTTCTCTCTAAGCCAAGCCAAATTTAGTGATTCTAATGACATTTCTGTTTCAGATTTTTTGTTTTTCAGACCCCGAATTTCAAAATGTTTGGAAGAATAAGCATTGCTGACCTGGATGAAATGATGCACAAGGTATATGAAAAAGATAGTCATGCAACCTTGCAATTGAGATCTATCACACATTGTATTTCTTTGCAATTCATGAATACCACACTTCTGCTATTAATATCCTCAATTTTTTTACTGTAATAGTAACATTCCAGCTGTGATCGAGTAATCCTCATTCTTTTTGTTCAAGTATCCATTAAAATGGGATATTCAACTCTACGGGAGTTGAACTGGTTCCCAAAAATACCTTTAGCTTTGAAAATGTTTTCCAGACTGCAATATAATAGAGTACTAAAATCTAAATGAACAGTTCCTATGGCAACCACTGTTTACATGTGGAAATCATCTGTCATAAAAATGCATTCAGTGATGCCTGCGTCAGATACCAGTAAGAATTACAGCATTTTCCATTAAATTAATTTAAATTCCTAATTGTTTCTCACTAAGGCTGAGATCACACTAGATGGACTATAACCAGACTGTTGTCTTGCTGAGGTGCATTTAAAAGATCATATCTGTTCATAGCCAGGGTGCTGACAATTCAGTCTAACTGGGTTCGGCAATTTATAATTGCTATGTTCTGTTTGAAGACCTTCTGTCACATTCATATAATCTCTCTCAGAGATTTCCAAACAAAATGAATCATAAAGAGCCATAATTAATTGGAAGGAAGCCAGTAATTTAAAATAAACACTACCATTAGCATCTCCAGCAAGCCCAAAATAGCCTCTACAGATGCCACTGTCACAATGAAAAGGCTTTCAAAATAGCATGAAGATATAGTCTACATGCTAATGGAATGATCCTGCACAGCCCAAGACCTTGAGAGTTATATTTAGAATATCATTTTGTAAAACTGAGGTGACTACATCATTCCTGCTAGCTGTGTAACAACTGTTTGTAATTTAAGGACCAGGTCTGGATCACATTTTGCTTGTCCAATGTGCAAAGGGAATCCAAAATGCCACCTTAACCAAGGGGAAAGCTCCAATTTAGGAGAACAACATGAAGAAAGGAGATTTCACTAGACCGCCATTTGTCGTCGTCTCTACATCTGTGGGAAGGTGTGGAGAGTGTGGAAATTCAATTCCCAAGATAGTAGCTGATTTGGGAGTCCAAACATAGGGTACACTGTAGAACCTATAGTCAGCCTTACCACATTTTTCTTTGTCTATCTGAATTATGAGAGAGAGCATGTACCTCAGATAAATATGAGTGTGTTATGGCTATTAATTCAGGAAAAAATAATAGCAATTAACAGAACGTGTCATTGAAAAAAACATAAGAAAACAGTACAGATAAGCCAACTGGAGGGTGCTATTAAAGATTTCTTTAATTAAATTAAACATGTTTCATCGGTTACATTTCCAATCAGTAACAATACTGAAAATATACATGGTTCATTTTTTAGTATAATGGGCCAAATTTTTACTTTACCGGCAAGATCTTTAGACAGCAAGTTGTGCCTTCCTAGTTCTTTGGCCAGCACCGGCTTGTGAGCTGGTTAGGACACTGCTCCGAACTACATCCGCTGGCTAGAGTTCCCAGTGAAAAATTTTGAGCTGTGCTTTAGCTAAGTGCACAGTTTTCTAACCACATTTCCTCTCTGTTTCAACTTGTGCCTGAAATGACCCTTCCATTTGAAGAGAGAGGAGGGAGGGGTAGAAAATAGCTTATCCAGTTACATGCGTAAGTGAGATGGTCTACTTGTATTATCTCCTCGCATGTAAGCTTTTTCGGGTGAGAGATTCTTGGTCTTTTTTTGTAGTATATTTTATTGATTCAGGTGCATTAATGATTTTGCAATGTGAATAATGACGAAACTGATTGTGTGGGTCACAAAGAGAGAAAGCTTTATGTGCCTTCTCCACTATTGCAAAGTGGACGCCAACCATACTGTTCAATATCAGCAATTAGTGAACTAGAGCATTCATTTTTAGCCCCTTATTTTTTAAGGCTAGAAATGCATATGAGTGACAGTTAGCACTCTCACTTACTTTTCCACTTTCTGTTAAATCATCTCTGAGCTTTGAAAGGCTGAAGGGCTTCTGTGATCCTGTGCTCTGCTCAAGGTCACATTAGAATCTATGGCTTTTATCAACAACATACTACAAGTGGGTCTTGTAAAGTGGTGCTTTCATGCATTATTTTGCTGTATTTCTTTCCATTCTGAAAACATTAACCATATTGGCTATATTGAATAAAAAGAGGTGAAAGAAGAAAGATCTATATTTGGCTTCATGGAAGTCTGAATTAACTGGATACTTTCTGCTCAATAAAGTTGAACCTGAAATTCCTCCCAGCCACGTATGTGCCTAGAGGAACTTAAGATATATTTAAGCTACTGATAGAAAATAGATTATTCCTGTAAAGCTTTGGGATATGTTGAAAAAAATCAAGTTTTGCAGTAGAACATTTCATTTCATTTAGAACATGTCTTTTCATATAGTAGGGCACAGAAAGAATTGCAGATGACTGATAGGCTAAAGGGGAAAGATGGGTGAGTATAGTAAAGCAGTGAAGTAAAACATCCTGTTCTTAATGAATTAAAAATCTCTATGTTTGTTGACCTACAGATGTGAACATTTCTCTTTTAATGAGTGACAGCTCTAGCAGCAGTCAAAGGCAATCCTACAGGAGACTGAGGAGAAATGTCTATTATTACCATTGTTAGGAGGTGTAATAAAGCACTATCCCTTTTTCATTAAAATTGGATGCTAGCCTGAAAGGTAAGCTAACTAACCATCAAAGAATAAGATTAGCTGTAGGGATGAATTTGTGGATGAGTCATGCTGATTAGCAGGCCTATAAACAAAGGTTCTTTTAAAGGTCTATTTTGTCTCTGTGCTGCTGTCAAGTTCTTGCACAGAAATAAAAGCAATGGAGTTAAAATCAAATGGAATTTTAAAATTTCCAAAATTAGTGTTCCATTTGTTTCTCTTCAGCTTTCAAGACACATTGGTTTGATAATGCAGATAACAAAAGGAACACAACTTATATTTCAATCAGCTGCTCCATGGGAAGACCCACTGATTATGCATTCACATTCTCTGCATGCAGGAATTCACCTTCTCATCATGCTCAGCTTCCTTGTTTTCCCATAGTCACCCGCTCCTAAGATAGTTTCCTTGCCTTCACTCTGCATGCAATAACACTAACCCCTTTCAAAAAATTACTTGCTTCTCTTCCAGTCACAACTAGAATGTATATAGAGATATATATATGCTGTGATTCAATCCTCCTTAATCCAAAAGAAAGAAACATGTCAGAGAAGTTTGATGGACAAGATTCCTTCAGCTGCTTCAGGAGTATTTGACTAACTAATCTGGAAATCTGTTAATCTGGAAATAGGTGAATTTGAATGTTTCTGACAAAATTTTCTAGCTCCATCTGCCCTTTTCTCTAACCTCTGAAATGGCACCCTACAACATAGCCCTCCTCATCTGCTAGCAGGACAAGGCACATGGAAATGACTGATTCTCTCACATTCATTACCAGCTATTGATGCACTTTCTTCTTGTTAGTAAATTAAAAGTGGGTAAAATCACTGCTGGTTTCTATGAGAAGTGGTTAACATCTATACTTCAAAAATTAGAAGGGAGAAAATTCCACTTACCTGCTGCATTTATCCTGGATGATAATACTGCCTTTAGTAGCCTGTTTCCCTTTAGAGACCACAGAATTAGTGATATTGCCATGTTTAACTCAATAATAAGTTGGCATTAGAGCTGCCTTCCAATAATCACTAGACTTGAGAGATGACTCTGTGAAAGGTGTTTGGTAGAAGATGCTCTGGAGGTATGCCTGCAGGTAAGACTCTGATCACATAGATGTTCTGATATGACCTTAATGTCTTTAGCTGGATCAGTGAATTTGATGGAATGATGAATTTGAGGAGCTATTGCTTTATGGCTAGACAGCAGAGCAAGAGCGACATCTGCTATTATTAGGATGATCAGACAAAGAAAGGTGAAGTTCATGGGTCAGGAGATTTGAATTAGCAAAGACAACTCGCTAAAACACAGCTTGTTTTGAAAGTTACCTGGTAAAAGATATCATGAGTCCCTACAGTCATAGAAGATATGGTTTGAAAATTGAATGGGTGATCAGCAAGTTCAGCAGAATATGCAGAAAGCTGATAGTTTCTATAGCTCTTATTTATTGCTCACTGTAATGTGATTCTATGGACAAGTGATTTCTCAAGGACAAGGCTATTCCAGGAAGGTTTGCTGATGGAGATGTAGGTAGAATCTGGATGGTTGTCTGCTCTAGAGACCTGGTTAGGAAGTAACTGCCTTTCTCTCCTGAACAGTAATGTCTAAGCGTGAATATTCAAATAACTAGTCACTTAGGGTTACATTAGGCAGGGAACTACTTTCTGAGTTTGTGCTAGAAAGTTGGCAGATGACAGCCCAGCCCAGCCTAGCACATGCCTCTCTCTACTCAGGACAACTGTTAAGCGGATCACTAACTCTTCGATTTACGAGAGTCTTCTGGTTAGGATCACTACAAGAGCTAAGTGGTCTATACCCTTTCCTCGTGTTAATAGGGATAGCTGAGCACATGAAGACTGAGAAGTGATCAGTTTGCTTGTCTCAAGTCTAAGATGCATCTTTCTTTTCTTAGGCATAAGAGGGCATAAAGTGTAACTCTTATCTAAAGCTACAACCTATTTTATTTTTAGCAATATTAGGAAAGTATTTTTGTTTCTTGACACTGAAAGGGATCCCTATGAGGAAGCTGAGAATTAGTGTCTCTCTGCCCATAAGGTATGTGATACTGCTGAGAAGTACAGTGGAATGTGGAGGCTTCTTGGACTGGGTATTATTTTCCACTAGCACCAAAAATGATTATTCTGTGATGGGTATTACACTGCTGTCTGCCATCTTTGCTCTGCTTAGGGACCTTTAGGATGGCTGCCTTGCAACTGTGGTGGCACTAATGCCTCCTACCGCAGTGAAAGACCTCATTGTATCTGAAAAGATTTGCCTTTTCAAATGAGGAATTTTGCTGAATGGGTTACC